TACAGTTTGGAGATATGTCAAGTATCAGATATATCACAACAATTATGTGAGTGAATTCCAAACAATGTGAGGGCGGTTGGAGGACCGAGTAGCTGTCGTTGAAGCAAACTTGAGGACACAGCTTGAGCAACTCGGAAAGATTGCAAATAAGGAAGTTGAAACTTGGCTAGAGAATGCGCGTCAAGAAATTGCTAAAAAGGTGATTGATGATCTGATCTGCAAAAGGGGTTGTTTCACATATATTTGCTCATCAAGAAAGCTCGATAAAGAGACTCAAGCACTGGAAGTGGGGATACTTAAGCGAGGGGAAAAATACACTAATACTGGTGAGATTTTGGTCATGGATGATCACTCAATCCAGTATTGTGCGAGGGTATTTGAAGATAAGCAAAAGGAGGTGAAGCAGGAAAAAGAAAAAATTGAGGCAGATTTGAAAACTTAGCTTGGGCAACCTGTAAAGATTCCTTGGAACAAAGTCGAAGACTGGTTGAAGAAAGCAAGCCAACAAGTTACCATGAAGGTTGAAGGTCTGATCAGCCAAGGGGAATGTTCCACATCAACCAACATTGAAGAAAATATTGAAGAATTGAAGCAAATGCTTGAGGAAGGAAAAGAATTAACTAATGTTAGTGTGAGTTTGGTCATAGATGATCAGTAAAAAAAAGGAGTTCCAATGCCTGCTAAAAAATGCATTGCACGGGATGAGGTACAAGAAGAAATTCTACAACTATTAAGGGGAGACAAGGTTACAAGAATTGCAGTTTGTGGAATGGGTGGCATGGGCAAGACAACAATCATGAAGCAAGTCCACAACCAACTATTAAAAGAACCCACAATTAAGAAAGTTATTTGGGTAAAGGTATCCAAAGACTTTGATATTGTTCTCCAACGAAAAAGGCAGTTTGATATTCTCAAGTTTCAGAAGAACATTGCAAGAAAATTGGGATTAGACCTGAATGAGGATGAAGATGCAATCGAGCTTGTAGGACGGATATCACAAAGCTTGCAACAAGGCAGTTGTGTTTTAATTCTGGATGATGTGTGGGAGCCTTTTTCTCTAGAAGATGTTGGAATCCTTGATCCAAATGGAAATGATGCTTGCAAGATGGTGCTCACAACACGGTCACAAGAGGTTGCTCGTAAAATGCAGTGTAAGGAGATTTATGTGAAGCCTTTGCAAAATGATGAAGCATTAACATTATTCTTGGACAAAGTTGGAAGTGAGGTGGTGTCCTATCCCAGATACAAAAGTGATATAGAACCTTTTTTGAATCAAATTTTGAAGAAATGTAATAGTCTACCCCTTGCTATTGGGGTGGTGGCAAACACCATGAGAGGAAAGTCTGATCGTTACTTATGGGAGAGGGCATATAAAGAAGGCCAAAGCCCCTATTTGCACCCTCCATTTATTTGTTTTCCGTGGTCAACACCTTCTAAAATTTTTCCTCCCTATTAACACCCTTCATTTTTCAAAACCCGTAAAAAACCCAATATTTTAACGGGCCGTCACGGCACCGTTAATAACCGTTAAAAATGATAATACGTGGCATTAAACAGTAACATAATCCAACGTGGACTTTTTTTTGATGATATGGCATAATTAATCCATAATTAATTTTAATTTTTTCATTTTCTTCTTTCCCGCATCATCTTTACCATCTTCCTCTTCATCCTCCTGGGTTTCTCATGGAACCAGAAATCCAGAACTTTATGTCACATTTATTAATACAATGTTTGACTTTTTTTATATGTGTTATAATCAAATTATCACTAATTTTAATTTCTTCATTTTCTTCTTTCTCAGCATCATCTTCACTAGCATCATCTTCATCATCTTCACCATCCTCCTCCTCATCCCCCTCAGAAACAATCTCCAAGCAAAAAAACTCACATTTCCAACAAAAAAATTATTTCAAATTGCTTTGCATAAAATCGAAGCTAAGATAAATACATTTAAAATAAAAAAATCAAAAAAAAAAAAGTTGGAACTGGGTTCCTCGCGGGGAACCCAGATCTGGGTTCCCGTGCAGGAACCCAGTTTCTGGGTTCCTCGCGTGGAACCCAAAAACTGGGTTCCTCGCGTGGAACCCAGTTCGGGTTCCTGCGCGAGGAACCCAGAACTGGGTTCCCCGTGAGGATGGTGAAGATGATGCCGAGGATGAGGGGAGAAAGAAAAAAAAAAAAATGCCATTTATGTAATTGTTTGGTAATATTATAATTTTTTATTATTTTTATTGTATACGTGGCGTCCACGTTGGATTATTAACGTTATGTAGTGCCACGTCAATTTTTGGGTGCCACGTAACATATTTTTTAACGGTGCCGTGACGGCCCGTTAAAATATTGGGTTTTTTACGGGTTTTGAAAAATGGAGGGTGTTAATAGGGAAGAAAAATTTTAGAAGGTGTTGACCACGGAAAACAAATAAATGGAGGGTGCAAATAGGGGCTTTGGCCTATAAAGAATTGAGCAAATTTGAAGAAATTGATGTTTGTTTGAAATTCAGTTATGATCACTTAGAAGAACAATCCAAGAAGTGTTTTTTATACTGTGCATTGTATCTTGAAGATCATGAAATCCGAAAAAAGGAGTTGATTGAGTTTGGATTGATGAGGGATTTATTGAAGATGAAAGGGGGTCTCAGCACTCAATGATTTGTGAGGGCCATTCTATTATTCAGAAGTTGATAGACAATTGCCTGTTGGAATCGGTTAAAAGAAAATACATAGGAAATCAAGTGAGATTGCATGACATGGTAAAAATCAAAAACAAAGAAGATTGGGTGAGTATGCATGATCTTCTCTGAGATATGGCATTGAAGATTATTCATCCTCAATTCATGGTGAAAGCTAGCATGGCCTTAGAAGAGCTACCAGAGGAGGTTGAAGGGAGAAAAAATCTTTTGACGGTTTCTCTAATGAAGAATCAAATAAGAGAATTTCCTTCAAGTATGTTGTCTCCCAAGTGTCCAATGCTCACAACCTTTTTATCGTCCAAAAACAATATCACAACAATTCCAGAAGCCTTTTTTGATCATATGCCTGGGCTGAAAATCCTTGATCTTTCTGGCAGTCACAAGCTACATAGGCTGCCCAGTTCTGTTTCTAAATTAGAGAGTCTTACTACATTACTGTTGGAGAATTGTGAGTCCTTAGAAGAGGTACCAATTTTATCCAACCTTGGAGACTTAAAAAGGTTAAACCTTTATGGGACATCAATTAAAGAACTACCCCAAGGCCTCAACATGTTAACCAATCTAAAATATCTTTGGCTTAGTGGAATGTTTTTTGATATACCTGACGGATTGCTACGAAATCTCTCCAAACTTCAGTGTTTAGGAGTAGATGGGACTATACCATTGAAATGGGAGGAGATTGGAAGATTGAGGAAGTTGGAATCTCTTGATGGCCGATTGTCTACGCTGGATGATATGAGCCTCTTTGTTAAGTCTGAAAGAAAGTTTTTAAATCACTACAGAATTTTTGTTGGAAGCTGCAGTCCACATGATTATTACTTTTATAACAAATCCTTTTTAAATGTTATGAAATCAATTGTATGTTCTCATATTGATATATGTGAGGGGCCTAATTGGTTCCCATATGATGCACAAGGCTTCTACATCTTGGACTGCAAGGATGTGAGAAGCTTGGACGACATTTCTGGCTTTCAAGAAGCAACCGACTTGCGGCACTACACCGTTGATCAATGTGATGGCTTGGAGTTTGTTGTTTCCTCGTGCTGCTTAAAGTCGCTCCAAAACCTTGAGTCGCTATACCTTCGTTGTCTAAAAAAATTGAATGCAGTGGTTGGGGCAGTAAAAGCAGTTGCCAAGTCAGCACCACTGCCAGTTGGCACTTTTTCTTCTCTTCAAAAAATTGAAGTTAGGAGATGTGGAAAAATAAAAAAGGTATTGTCGCTTAGGTTGTTGCAGTATCTCCAGATTCTACAGACCATTAATGTTAGATGGTGTGGTCAAATGGAGGAGATAATATGGTCCGAATATGAAGAAGGAGAAAAAGCCCTAGACAAATGCACTCTACCCAAGTTAGAAAGGGTGATATTGTTGGATTTACCCACATTGAAGAGCATCTACAGTGGCTTTACTACTATCTTGATCTGTGATTCCCTGAAAAGGATTGAAATTCAGTCCTGCCCAGAAATAGAGAGTGTTTTTTGGACGGGGTTTAACCCACTTCCAACCCTTGAGCATTTGAAGCTTTCCGGCTTAAAGAAACTAAAATTTGTGTTTGATGAAGAAGTTCTTGGTTTATTGGCCCGTCCCACCAACTTGTTCTCTCTTAAAACAATTCGTGTGTTTAGTTGCCCTAAATTAAAGAAAGTATTCTCATCTAGATGGTTGCTTGGCTACTTCCAATCTCTAGAGACTATTCAAGTTGATTCTTGTGACCAAATGGAGGAGCTGATATCATCATCGACCTATGAAGAAAAAGAAGCCCTAGAAAAAATCACTCTACCCAAGCTCCGAAGGTTAGAATTATCTCGATTGCCCGAATTGAAGAGCATCTGTAACAGTTCCAATGTGTTGATTTGTGATTCCATCATCGGTCTGCTGATTTGCGACTGTAAGAAGCTAAAGAGGATTCCTTTGCATCTTTCCTCGCTTGACAATGGCTAGCCTCCTTCCCTCAAACAAGTTCAGGTATACCCAAAAGAACTCTGGGATTCATTGGAATGGGACCAATCCAATGCAAAGGATGTCCTTCTACCTTCTATATGGAGCAAAGAAGTGCAGCCTCTTCGGTGATTGGGTGGTGTAAATGTAAGTCTTTTTAGCTTCAATTTTCCATTTCTGATTCAACTCGATAGGAGTTTTCATTTTTTATGCTTTCCTTCTTCCTTTCTATCCCAACAAATCTCTCTCACTCTTGTCTTTTCTTTTTAATATCTTTCGTTTCTTCTCCCCATTGGCAGCAAAGCTAGAGTTGGACTCTGTTACTACAAGAAAGCTGGAGGAAATTACATTTGCTTCCACCTGTTATTGTTGTTGGGTTTTCAATTTAAGATAGATACACTTACTATTTTTTGTATTTCTTTTCTTCTTCTTCTTCTTCTTCCCTTTTTTTTTTTTTTTTTTTGTGTGTTGTGTGTTTAAATATGTCAAATTCTAAGTGGAATTGTTTATTTCTTATTTGTGTAATTTTGTCTTTCAAACCTGTGTAAGGATCTATCTTATTTCTTTTGGTATTTCTTTTGCTACATCTGCATCTTTGCTTTTCTTGTAATAAGCATTTTTGGTTGAATTGTGAGATATTGCTATTTATCTTTGTTTTGAACCTTATTAGTGATAGTATGATACTACAAAATTGTATTTTGATTCATATTTTTTTTAATTAAACTTATGGCTAAACTTCATCAATGATCATGCCTGTTTCACAAGAAAATTGTAATGGCCATCCTTGGATATAGGCATGTGTGTTACATTCATCTGTGGGCAGGCTGATGTTTGTGCCATTGGTGCTGTGTTAGAAAGGCATGCCGGTGATGAGAAGCTAGTGGGATTGCTACTAATTAACACAATCCAAACAGGTGTTTGATTGCTCTCTCTTTTTATTGGACCAAAATTCCTATCACAATAGCTAGCTTTGAATATGTATTGTGATCTTCAGTCACTTTTTAGAGCAGAGCAGAACTACCTATGACGTGCAAATGATGTGGGAAAGAATAGTTCTTATGAGCTTGTTCCTTTCTAAACAAGCATTTTTATATTGGTGAAGACACAACATATACCAGGCACATGGTAAGACCTGCTTGCTTTGAAATCACCTTTAATGAACAAAATCAAAAACCCCTCTCTAGATTTTGGATCTATACAAAGTTGATGATGTAATAATCATAAACAAATGGCAAAATGGTGCAATAGTGTTACAGTGTCATTTTTAGTTCTTACCCTTCCAAAAGTAGCTGACGTATATATATACTAACTAGCATGCCATTTTCCTATTGTCTTCTTTAAACTGAATTTTGTCTAACTAATTTTTGTCGGGTACATCTGTCAAGCAAGCCGGAGTTTATCTTCTTGACACCATGCATTTTGAGGATGCATCTTATTGTATCTATGATTTTGATGATTACAAAACACATTTGAGTGACTAATTGGTTTATTTAAGTGTATAGTTAAGTTTCTAAAAGATTGCAAGTAAACTTGGACTGCACTTAAAAATGGACCAGAAAGGCTTGAGTATGTGCAGAGAGCCGGCTCTTGAAAGCTGCAGCCGGCTCTGGTGAAATGGAAGTGCAGAAAGCTGGCTCTACGGGTAGAGATTTAAAGGTTCGTTGTTTGACGTGCGCGGAGAAAAGACGTAGAGCCAGCTCTAACTTTGCAGCCGGCTATAAGAGTGCATTTAATACACAATGGTCGACTTATTTGAAGAATAATTAATATTGTTAAAGTCGGAATACCAAAACCGACTCTAGGTTTTGCAGCCGGCTGTGGAAGAAAACAGAATGTGCAGGAAACCCGCAAAGCCGGCTTTGCATTTTAGAGCCGGCTCTACGGAGGAAACAAAATGTGCAGAATTCCGCAAAGCCGGTTGCAGAAATGGTGAGCCGGTTGTATGGAGCCGGCTCTAGGAAGTTAAGTTGGCTCTCCTGACAATCCTTCAACTCGAGCTTTGTGTCTTGTAGAGCATTAAATGACCCCCAACGGCTAGTAACGGCTATTTTCGACCATGGGTTATAAATATGGTTGGTAGAAGATCTGAAGGAGGTTTAGAGAGCATTGCATTGAATATCTTTACCTACCTACATGAGTTTTAACTTGAGTTTTTGATCTTTAAGAGATCTTTACTTGTAATCCTCTTCTTGTTCTATTTGTGAGTGATCTTGAGGGTATGATTAATCCTTCAAGAGTGATTTGTAAAGAGAATTCTTGGGGTTTAAGTGTAAAGGGGTGAGATTTGAGAAAAACACCCTTCTTCTTGTAAAAGGATTGAGTGGCTCCTTTAAGCCACCCTTGTTGTTGTTAGTGGAGAGTGTGGAGGAAATCCTTGGTGAGTAAAGCCAAGGTAGAGGACTAGGTTCCAAGTGGTTGGACCGAACCTCCATAAAATCATTAAGCAAGCTCTTCTTCTCTACTCTCTTTATTTTTGGTTTTGTGGTTGCAAAGATGGGAGAATTTTTGGAACTCCAATTCACCCCCCCTCTTGGAGTACATTGAGTCAACACATCTAGACTGAAGTGGAAAAGAAAATGCTAGCTCTAGGTAGTAGATTACAATTATTTACTTCGTAAAGCTAATAATCCTAAATGTGAATAAATTTCTTAATTCTACCCTTACTTTCTGAAACTCAAAACGTAATTTAATTATGTGCTTTACTTTTGGTGTTAACCTCTGCAGGTGCCTTCGAGCAGAAGTATGGTGCCTCTACTTTCTGTGGAGGAAGTGGAGAACATGGATTCAGGGATCTAGTTTGGCACACCATGTTTGAGAAGGATAAGAGAAAACCTATTGAGGGTATTGACCCCTTAGATGTTCTCTAGGTCAGTCCATCTTCTTTTATTGTCTAAGGACTCAACAGAAGTTGCATTCAATTTTTTTCCTTCTGTCCTCGTCATTTAACACACCAATTGGGCATTTAGTGCTATCATATGGGAAAAATAAGATGATATGTCATTTCTGCTATTTATCTGCAGGAAGTGTAAAACATTTTTCTGTTTCCTAAATCCTTATCAGTTTTGGTTTCTTTATTTTACTATGTTTAATGCATAGGTTTTGCCCTCCTTCAAATGTAAAGAGGATTGAAAAGAATTCTTGTGTCAATCCAGTCTTTACTTGTATTTCTTTTTACAGGTTTTGGATGCTACATGCAAGGGACCCACAAGGTACAAGATGCCTTCATCTAGAGAAGCATTTGAAAGAAAATTGCAAGCATAAACACATGATTCTTTTGTTAAACAAGTTCAGTCTATTTTCTAGCTGTATTTATAAGGCTGCGATTGCTTGTGAACACTTGTAGTTCCCCTTTTTCACTGTGAGATTGTCTATGCTTGGGCTAAAAGGGATGGCCTAGAATATTATCAAAGCATTCCATGCTTGCATCAATAGGTCTTTTTGCAAGGTAAGTAATACATTTCACTCTCTCTCTCTCTCTCTCTCTCTCTCTCTCTCTCTCTCTCT